ATGTGAGGGTGCCATATCGTTGGGGTAGGAGCAGCGATCCTCACCATCTGTGTTGTCGTGCTTTGCAGAGCAGCCCGCAGAGTCTCTCTGTTCATTTTCTCCTGGATGTCAAAAACCTAGGTCATGGAGGAATAGTATACAGCTGAGTGTTAGATCAGTATATACATGTGTAACACAGAGGACTCCCCATAACAAATATACACCTCAATATACTGATGGCTAGGAACTGGGCTTTACCATGGGGATCCTCCAAACATACTCATCGTTATTGACACCAATGATGCTGGGAATAGGTTTGAACTCAGCAGAGGCCAGAAGCTCCTGGGGGTGCCTGGGCAAGAAGACCCCATCCACTACAGCAGGAATGATCTTGAAGGACTAAGGGGACATTCAAGTCAGGGATCAAGATTAGCATTCAGATTTTTTTTTTTTCTTTTGAGGTGTCAGATATTTTCCAAGGCCCAATGACTTGCTTCCTGCCACTCTTACCTCACCCTAGGATGCTCACACCCGCCCCAGGAATCCCTCCCTAACTTAGCATATCTTTGTGCACATTTCCCACCCAGATCTGTGTGCACAGCAACCCATGCAGATACGGTTATGACCGTAGAGTAAAAGACTCCCTCACTCACACTAACTCACCCCCTTCACCCACATCTGAGAATAACCAACCTTTGTAATAGCCATAATTTCTTCTTCACTCTTGCCACGTAGGCATCTCACCATGGCCTCTGAGTCAGCTTTCCCACATCCAGAAAGGTTAGCCACTATCTGAAGTTAGTTCAGGCAGGGGCTGGCTCATTCTTGCAGGCAGGAAGAGGACTCATTGCATGCAAGTAAACCCCAATTTCACAGGATACCCTATACGAATTGCTGCCAGTATAAACTCTTCTTTCTCCTCTGCTGATCAGAAATCTCACCCAGAGGGGCCATCACATTTGTTTCCATGGTTCCACAATGGGTGCCTCATGAGTTACCTTTGGTGACCATAGAACATACTCAGGTTATTAGAGGCAGAGGTATGTACATTCTCACCCTTGAGCATCTCAGAATTCCTAGGAAGGCTGCAATTCCTAGGCCATCTCAACTGCCTTCATTGTTCCCACTGAATGACAGTACACCAGAGACTCTGAAGCTGAGGTGAAAAGAGGGGTCCTGTGCAGCGCCGGTTGAGGGTACTCACTGTAGAGATGCCTTCAGAAGAGCTCGAGATGAGACCAGGTAGCAGGGCTACTCCACTCTCCATGATGGCACCATGGAAGAGTCCTTGGGACATAGGGGACAAGACAAGTGAGGACACGCTTGTGCCACCTGCTGACACGCCAAAAATGGTGACACGGTCAGGGTTGCCTCCAAAGTGAGCGATATTCTGCTGTACCCAGCGTAGGGCAGCCACTTGGTCCAGGTAGCCCCAGTTGCCAGAGGCGTGTTGGTCTCCAGTGCTGAGAAGTGACAGGCACAGGGGTCACAGGCCTGCTCTGGCTCTGCTCAGTCTTATTTCCCAGCGCCACTGCCCAGGCTCACCTGAAGAAACCCAGCACAGCAAGGCGATACTGGATAATGACCACCACCACATTCTCAGAAGCTGCCAGAATGGAGCCATCATGCATAGAGGCCATGCCTACAATCAGCCCACCACCATGGATCCATACCATCACCTGGGGAAGTAAAGAGAGAGGCCATGAGACTTCTGCCCAATCCAAACAGCACCTGGCCTTCTCATACACTATCCACTGCCTAGGCTCTATGTAACTACTGCACAGGACTCTAGTAAGACAACATACCTGAGGCATGAGAGACAGACCCAGTTTCAATCAGGTCGACCAGGACTTTCTTACTTTTAGGTCAACACGTGAATCCACGCCTGCATCTATTAATCTCAGATCCCTTGATAATTGAAAACAAGGGGGAATTTCTGATACTGTCCTGTATAAATAATAATAAAAATATAATTTCCTTGGCTCAACAGATAAACTACAGCTGGGTTCTTCAGTGATTTCAAAGTGGAGCTCTTTGGCACCAAAACCTCTGATCTCTGGCACCAGTTAGGGCTCTGTGACTTAATGCCTAGGGGTCAGTTGCCCAACCTGACCGAGCAGCTCCTCTTGGTCTCCATAGCAGAAGGCTTCACAGCAGGGTCCACATGGCAACACAGCCAAGATAACCACATCCACTTTTATCCTATTCTCTTTCAGTTTTATTTGATTTTGTGGTACATGAATTTTAATCTAGACCTTTATGCTTGACAGGCAAATGTCTATCACTAAGTCATATATTTAGCCACCTTCTAGTCTTAGAGAAGAAATTTCCCCTCTACCCAATCTGACCATGGTTACACACTCACAGGCAGGCTAGATCCCTCACGGACATGAGCAGGTGTGTAGATGTTGAGGTACAGGCAGTCTTCAGACATGGGTATAGGGAGTGGGGTCACATTAAACACTTTCATACGCTCTGGACTACTTAAGAGAGAATTTTGCAGACACCTGGTGACAATGACAGACATTATTCCATGGCCAGTTGTTGTCAAAACCACTGTGGCAACTCATCCTGTCAGTTGGTACAGTGCCTACAAAAGGTGGATTCTCCAAAGGCTTATCATTACTGCCCTCCTGAGGTAAAGTTTTTATCTGCAGTGGGATCAGAGGTTCCTACAAGATTCACTGATTAATCTGAAACTCTTCCAGAGATCTCTCCAATGTCATAGGACAGACAGCATAACCCAAAGCCAGAAATAAATGTGTCTCTGCCCCTTGCTTCACCACCTACTATCTTGAGGCTCCGAACCTCTAAGTCGTCTCAAATAGTTCCTCCACCCTCTGGAGTGCAGAATACTCAATATAGAAGAAACTAGCTGTACATTGGGGTGAAAGTACAACACATTCAAGCTCTGAGCTCAGAGCTCCCAATCCCTCCCAAGGGACTGCGTTTCCACAGTTCCCCAGAGAGCTTACATAGCAGGGTGGGAGGAGGCATCCCTCACACCACTCCAGGACTCAGCAGCTTCAGGGGGTGCAAACCGCAAAGGTCCTAGAGGTGGCTTGGCAAAAGGAATTCCCAGGAAAGTGTGGACCTCCAAATTGGTGCCCTTCACATGCACAAGGCTGCCCCGCACCTGTCCTGTGTTTGTGGTCCGGATGGGGTTGGCAGAGTCCTGAGCTGTGGGCAGAGAGATGCACACCAGAGCTGGGTCTTCCCATACTGGGTCTCACACACAGTGGTTATTGCTACCTCTTTGTCACCCTCAGCTCAGCATTGCTAGGGACCCAGATCTGCAAAAATTTGCTTCAGACACATTTTGGCTGTTATGTTCTCCTTCTGTAATACCACCACCATTACTGGGCCTGACACCACCTCACCCAGAATCACCTTAGGGTTTCATAGGATCTTCCATCAAAAGTTCTTTTACACTAATGAGGGAGAGATTCCTCTGTACTAAGTCTGCCAAGTCCTGTGTGATACCAGGAGGATTCAATTAAAAAGTCGCCCATCCTCAAAGTCTTCTGCTCAAGGTAGCATGACTTAAAGAAAACACTTCTCCACACCTCCATGCTAAGAGGCATATGATGAGGAAAGCTATGAGAAAGTGATGCACTTGTGACCAAACCATAAGTCTATCTGCCTTTCGGGGTCTGGAAGAAATGAAACCACTCACCTCCTAATGGTCCAGAAGACAAAATGAGGAATTCCAAAATGCCCATTATTGTTAAAAATGGATGATAGACATATAGTGTTCATGAGCTCTCCTTTCTCCCTTACAGGAGAACACTCAATGTTCACCACTCAATCAGCCCTGAACCTCTTTGTGCTTCAAGGTGCAGGGAGGTGTCAGTCATGCAGGGAGGTGTCCTAACATGGTCCCCTGAAGCTGTAATCTCCACCAGGTGCTACCTCCCTCCTGCTGTCTCAGGTTCTTCCTCTGGGTCAAATTCCACACAAAAAAGTTAAACATCCCCAAATATTATGGAGAGCTAATACTCCCATCCATCACCTATCAGGACTACATGAATCAACAACTCTGATGACACATGGAGCAGGTAAACATAGGGTAGCATGGCCAGGCATGGCGGGGTTCACCTGTAATCATAGTGCTGAAATGGATAAAAACAGGAGGAGCACTATGAGTCCAAGCTGCACAGTAAGACCCTGTACCAAATATATTGAACAGGGTAGCAGCCACTAACAGGCACCAGAAAGGACAGTTTAGCAACATCTTCCCAAGTCCAAAGGAACACTTCTTTCCCTGTTAATGTGCCACTTACACACACGTTTTCAGCTGAGATCTCTGTCCATATAATTTACTATGGTCGCCAGACACTGGTATCTGATATTTGTTGCAACACAAGACAAAACCTGATGCAATGTCCCAGTTGAGAGATTGGGTACAGACATCTTACATAGAGTTCCGGGCACAGCATGTAAGACCCTATGACCTTGATGTTCTCTTTGGAGGAGCCAGCATGTCTGAATCAGTGAGTATGAGGTGCATCCCAACTCTCTACCCCTTTTTGTCGCCTCAACAATACTGAACATAAATCCAAGCAAAAGATTGTTTACAGAGGAGCCATCAAAGAGATTTAGCTAGTCTTCAAGCCTAGAAGTTTTGGTGCCCACCAAGAGCCTGGGCAATAGCAGGTAAGAAAGGAATCTAGCAGGCTGTGCCCTAGGGCTGAGTTGAGTGGTGGCTCCTGGGCAGAATGGAATGTGAAAAAAAGAAGGCAGGCTGCCAGGTCCTAAATCAGGAGGCTTTGAGTGACAGGGTCAAAGGCCACAGTTTCGCCCTGCACATGCAGCCATAATGGTATCAGCTCCTGATAAGAACCTGCGGACTATCTGGCAGGCACAGAGCACATCACGTTTACCTAGAAGCCAAGCAATACATTTGCCCGAGGTTGGGCTGTGGAATAAAAGGAATCCAGAGCTCTCAGCTCAGCTTTGAGATGTACCCAGGGTCTTGTGCTTTTCAGAACTAGTAAATTTGCCTGAGGCACCTTCAGAGGATTCCAGGGTAGCCTCTGGCAGAGATGGTATCATGCTTAAAACCCAATGCCTTCAGGAAGCAACTACTGTCATTATTGTTACACTTGAAGGCCAGCATCAGCTATAGCCATAGCTACCTTCTGGGCTGAAATGCCTAGAGTTTCAGGTCCCTCCCAAGAGGCTTCTGACCTGACTTTCCAGCACTCCTCATGTCCCTCATGCTGGATTCCCTCTGAAATGCAACATGCCCTTAGGTCGTATCATTTCTATACTCTGAAAGCCCACCTTGCTTATATTTTGGGGTGGTCAGGAGGTACAGGATTCCCACACTGTAGTTTGACATTTCCACCAGCACCTCCCTCCCTGGAACTTCACTTCCATATTCTCAGGCTCTACCTCTGCACTTTGCAGATGAGACACAGTCCCTACCACCCCCTACGGGGATCTTACCCAGGCCACAGATGAAGAGAAGCAGGAGTCCACAGACTACAGAGTTCAGCCAGGCAGGAAACTTGTCCAACCACATGTCTGTGTACAGGCCAGTTTCTGTTCTACTATGGAAGAAGCTGTATTTCCCCAACAAGAAACAAAAGAATGGACTGGCTTTGGTTGGAGTTTGAACCTGGCAGACAGTAGGTGGGGCATAGAGTAGGCAGGGCAAGGTGGAGGTTGTAGAAGAGGTAGGCAGAGGTCCAGAGAGCCAGGAGGCAGAAGGGGGAGCATAGCCACCTTCCCTTCCTTTGGCTTTCTCTCACATCCTCAAAAGTATCTCTTGTCTTCTGCAGTCTCTGTGAGCTACCAGGAAGTCCTCTTCTCAAAACTGAAGTCAGGATGCCTATTGTCTTTGCAGTCACAGCAGGAAGAGTGTCCAGGGCTAAGAGGAGGGAGTAAGAACCCTAACTGAAAAACTGAGAAGTGCTGCTTGAAGTGCTGTGGGATGAGATTCCTCAAGGATGTAGGAAATTGCATTTCCCTGTGGGAGACTGGAAAGGCCTGACAAATACATGGAGTTGTGATTGTGCCCTTCATACTAACAGCTGCTCTTTGCATGCTTTTTTTGGAGGGTTTGGGGGGTGAGGGTGGTACCAGGGACTGAATTCAGGACCTTATGCTTGCCAGGCATTTGCTTAATCTACTGAGCTATCTCCGTAGCCCTCTTCTTTGTATTCTGCACTGGGACTCAAACTCTCTATTATACTAGATGCCACTTCATAGGTCCAGCCTCATATCTGGGAGTGAATGCTGTTCCTTCTCTATTAGTGCCCTGTTTCTGAAATACATAGGTGAATGTCACACTTCTTATTGACTCATCCAGGCAGGGGCAGGGAAAGTGTTTCATTGTCATTTCTCCAGTGGAGATAGTCCTTGTTTTCACTTATCCAACTAACAAATAAGTGAAACAAACATACTGGATCACGAACCATGTTCCTGAAAGCTGATCCCCAGGCCTATTGTTCTACAGGGCAGGCAGGAAATCACTAGGACATTCCTAAATGCAGAGAACCCTGCCAGGATAGAGGGAAGCCAGCCTGGGCATCTGAGTGCCTGCTCTGCCTGACTTACTGGAGAACTGGGTGTGGGACTTAACCACAGACTTCTCCACCACTCCTAAGTGTCCTAGGACTACTGGCCTTGGGCTCAATGTCTGTTCCCGCTGGGCCCCCAAGGCGCAAAATCGCAGGAGTTCCTTCTCATTATCCTGAACACTAGTAGTCTACAAGCCAAAGCTGCTGATCTCTCAAACTCAGGCTTGAAGGATGCCAGTGAAAACTGTACCAGGCGAGATCCCGCAGTAAGGCCACGCCTCTTCCTGTTCCCATGATTTGTACAAGTTGCAATGGAAGTATATGGGAACTGTTGTGGACTGTGCCTCAGGAATGACGGACTTTGGCGGTGGTGGAGGCGGGGGCGGAGTTGGAGGTGGTGGCGGGGTGGGCTGTGGGCTCCTGGAGAACACTAACCCACTCATCTAAGAGCGTTCTGGAGAGCGACCTGTAATGGAGGGCCAGGAGATGGAGCATATTCCGGACAACACAAATGCGCGCCTCACTTTTGATATCGACTGCTTCTGGTTAGGGGACGGATTCTCGCGTCCTTGCGAGGGAGCTGTAAAGTCCAGCATTTGGTGGAGGACTATCCAGGATGGGCATTCCTGACCGAGGGTTCTGAGTGGAGAAAAGTGGAAAGTCCTTTTTCCTTCGTTTGACACATCTTATTCGCTCTCTTATTCGCTCTCTCAGTGACCCGGAGTATCCGCTGACAGTAGAAGAATTGAACGTGTTGTAACCCAGAAATCAAAAACCGGACTCAACTTAAAAATACAAAGCGCTTTGTTTAGCTGAGCTCAGCGGCGGCACATACTCTCCTCTCCAAGTAGGTGCCCGCCGAGGTGGGGAGAGACAAGGGTTTTTAAGGCTGAAAACCCCAAAGGGGAGGTCTTGTGACTTGAGCGCAAGGGAATGCAGCACAGGGGTCAGCGTCCACTTTTGGGAAAAAGGTTACATTTTTTTCAACATGCAGTTACAATTTTCAGGAACAAATAATTACAATTTATGCTACGGTGTTGATCTCGGGACATATTGTGTGGAGTGCTCTGGGGTAAGAAATAGTTCAGATCCTAACCTTTAACACACTGTGGTTTAGAACAAAGGAATAGTTAGAACATTAACAAACTGTGTCCAGAGGTTTGACGGATGGCTTGAGCCACCAAGATGGAGTTTAAGTTGTCAGCTTTTACCAAACAATCCTTGTTAATAAAGTTACAGTGGAAACGTACAGAGGTGTATAATAGAATGGCTATTCTGGTTACAAAATGGAGTCAATTACATAGGTTATAACAGAAATGTACAGAGTTGTATAACAAAATAGCTGTTCTAGTTACAACAATGGAGATGGTTACATAGGTTATAACAGAATGTAGTAGAGCAAGTTAGGGTTCAGGTGAGTTACTACCAGTGAAAAGAGCAACTTGTCGGGGACAATCGGATTCTACTGTATGTAAGAGTAACATTTTTGAGGCCGGGGACACGCAGGAGGGATCTTTGGAGGAGAGATTCTTGTGCCCATTTTATTAGTGTTGAAACTGAAGCCCATAAAGGCTAGGTGACTTGCCTAAAGCAAGAGACAAAAGACTCTCCCGCAGGGTTGGAGGTGTCCTTGCACTCTGATGACTCTTCCTCACCACCACCAGGTTAGTAAGTGATCCTGACAGCACAGTGGCCATGGCCTTTCCACCCACCATTCCACACTGCACCGAGGCCACCCTTTTTGGGCTGTCCATCAAAGTCAGCTTCTGTGCCTCCTTCCCCAGCATTTCAACATTAGTTGGAATAGAGCATCAACTGTGAAACAGGTGTAAGGCTCTGGTACTGACAACAGGACAGCAAGAGCAAGAACCATATGGTTTTGATATAAAGAGTTGCAGCTACAAAAAATGAACTGGAGGATGTGTTCTAATTTGATGTAACAAGAATAAAGATATGAGCTGTAAAGAACAGAAAAGTAGTGAAGAGTGTGGCAGAAAGGCCGTGGGGGAGCTGTAAATGGATTTGGGTCAGGGATGGCCTGTGATGTGGATAGAGTTGGCATGGCTGTGGGTAGATTTGGGGTGCAATGGAAGAGGGAGTCCAGAGGTGTGCTTAGGGGATGGATGCATGTTGGACGATGTGCCCTAGGGTCTAGAGGGAGGGAGCAAAAAGGTGGATAGATACTCAAGCTCAGATAATCTCCTTGTAGAATGTAGAAGACAATTTGTTCTTCATGATTTTGAGAGCCCAAGTTTAAATGCCCCCAAAAGAGTGGGCCCAATCCATGCTTTCTTATGGTTTCTCAGTGCTACTGAATGAACATAAATCCAACCCACAGACTTTAGTCAGGAGCCCTGGTGGTGGTTGGACAGATCTTTCAGATAGAAATCTTGGTTGCCTGAGAAGTAGAGTCAAGTACAGATAAGGGAAGGAGTCCAGCATGGTAGGCCATGCTGGTAAGATAATGAGGATTCTTTGGGGCAGGTTGCAATGGGCAAGGGTAGGAGATATACTCAGATCCCATTATACATAAAGTACAATTACATAAAATGGAAAAAATAAAATGCATAGTCCCAGAAAGAAGAAAAAGAAGCCAATCCATACTTTTGTCTCAAGTGAGGGGCACTGAGGGAAGAACCTCTCAGATCATGTTTGGGATGTGATACCCAGAGGCTTGTGTCCCTCAATGCCTGTTACATTTCCTTTATTAGAGGACCTGGGCCATTTTCTGGCTATGGGAGGTCACATTCAGAGACCAAGGCCAGAGGAAGATACTGCTTTCATTATTGTTATACACAAGGGCCATCAGCAGCTACAGCCACAACCATACATTCAGGAAGGAGAGGACCGAAATCCCAGCTCCACTGCCAGAAGATGTGGGGCATGCCTGTCCTGTGCTCCTCTGCACGACTCATACCAGACTGCTCCTTTGTGTTGGGTGTCCTCAGGCAACTCTGATACTACTTGCTTCCAGGGTCCTTCCTGATGGCTTGGTTTAGGGGATCTGGAGGGCACAGTGCTCATATAGTCCACTGCCACCTCCCATCTCCTTCCCTGACAATTCTCTCTCCCCTTAGTTCCCCTGCCCTGCTGTCTCAGGCTTCGGCACCCTTTGGCACATGCCTCACCAGTATCTGTGATCTTCTGCCAGACTTTCATGTTGACCTGGAGCTAGAAGAATTAAGAGCAGCAGGCTACAGCACTCAGCAGGGTAGGGAGTCTGTCAGTTGCATGATCAGTTTTCCTGCATGTTCTGTCCTGCTGGAGCTCCACTGTGTTTTACATACAGGCAGCCTTCCTGCAGTGTGGCCCAGGTCAGAGTTTGAACCCAGAAGGAAGGAGGTGGTGTCCCGGATGGCCAGAGAAGGTGGGGGCTGCTAGGGAGTAGCATTGATTGGGCAGAGGTCACAGGGACCCAATAGCCAGCAGGATGGGTGTGTCTGTCTCCCTTCTGTGTTAGCACTTTGTAGCATCCTTCGAAGGTATTTTTGAGACATCAGGAACTCTCTTCAAATCTGGAATCACTAACTTCATTTTTTTTGCAATGACAAGCATCACTGTAGCTTTCAACTTGAGGGAGAAAGAAACTGGAATCAGAGAACCTAAGAACACTTCTTTAAGGTGATTTCCTATGAGGTCCGAGAGATGGGAATGGGAGCCTCCTTTGATGCTGCCGAAGGAGACAACTTGACAGAGGCAGAGAGGTGAGTCTGCCCCTCATCCTGAAGGCTCCCGTTTGCCTCCTGCAACCATAGTGACTGTCTTCCCTTCAAGATTCCTCATTATTCCCCACATTCTTGATCTGGGGATCTGTAACACCAGTGCCCTCCCTATATTGTTATGATTGTTGGATGCAAACACATTAGACACTGACAATACTTTATTGCCCCCCCCCCATGGTACTGGAGATTGAATGTAAGGCATGGCACCAAGCTAAATCATTGGTAACTTTTTATTATTTATTATGAGACAGGGTCTCTAAGGTGGTAAGTTCCGAGGCTGGGCTCAAACTTGTGATCCTCATGCCTCAGCCTTACAGAGCCCTGGGGTGACAGGTATGTGCCATCACACCTGGCTCTGGCACATCTCACAGATACCCTGTCAGTTACTTTTCTCTCATTGCTGAGACAAAATACTCAATACCCTAAGTTAAGGAAGAAAAGATTTATTTAGCTCATGGTTAGTGGAAGTTTCATTCAGAACTCAGCTGGCTCCAATGCAGAGTGGCACCAGGTAAATGGTGGCAGTTCATGGTGGAGTAAAACAGCAAAAACCAAAAGGGAGAAGCTACTGGAGAAGTTAGCAAGCCTTTCTCTCCCCCTACCCCACAATGTATTCCGGCTCTCTGCCCCAGGGCAAGTGTCACACACACCCCTAATCCCAGCATTGGATCATGAATTAATCACAAATGCCACAAGCTACCCCAATGACTTACCTGAGGCTTTAGAGGGACAACTAGACTCAAACCATAACAACCCTCTTACTCATCTGCCCTTTTTCAGTATCTTACCTGAACCTCATTTCTGCCAAAATGAATAAATGCCAAAAAGTCCTTTCTCCACCTGAGTAACATATACCTGAATCTACTGATTCTAGAAGGTACCCAGAAGGGCACTCCTGGGCCTATGGTACTCCCAGGAAGGTAGGCCCATAACTGAAATATTCACAGCCAGGAAAATATCGTTCCAAGATAAAGTGTGGTGAACAAGTCTCAGCATGCCCCCACGTGCAGGGCCAGCAAGTCTCGCTAAAATCACTTTTTTTTAAAACCACTTTTAAAACAGATGATTACAGTAACCTTTTCACAGATTCACAATGACCATTTATGTATGACAAAGCATTTTCCGCAGAAACCATGAAAACAACAGCAAACTTCAGGAGACTGCCATTGAGGACCTGCCTGGCTCTACAGAACCACACACTGGCCCAAGCTCCAAGGGCAAGCAGACATGACCAACTCTAATGCTCATGAAAAGAGCCTGCAACTTCTCTGGACAGAAATAGATGAGTGAGTTGTTTCAAAACTTAATGATAGATAAAATTTAATGTAGGTAGACAACAGAGATATTCTCAGTAGTTGCCAAACTTGGTGGCTGCTTTGGTGAAGCTCTACATATGCTTTTAATATTGTACAGCTCACAAATTCATAAATTGAAAGCTAACCTTAAGTTGATGGTTCAACAGGCACAGTAAGTAGTTTTTTTGTTGTTGTTGTTTTTGTTTTGGTGGAACCAGGGATTGATCTCAGATCCTTGCGCTTGCCAGGCAAGTGCTCATTCCACTGAACTATCTCCCCGGCTCCAGGAACAGTAAGTAGTGATGAGGGCTACTGTTTACCCCTTCTACCATGTGTGGTCATGGTGACAAAGCACTGTCTATTAGACAGAACAAGCCAAATCTGCTAGTAACCTGATACCCACTTCTTAGTCTCCTAATCTGTAAATGAGTTTTTGTTGTTTAGAAACTACACAGCTTATGATACACTTTTATATAAGCCTGAACATACAGAGAGCCCAGGTTTATGAAATCTGCGCTTCTGTTGCCTATATAGATATAAGCACATATGGAGTCAATGAGAGGTGAAAAGAACTTTGACACCCAGGTGTGGATAACATTCTTCAAAACAATGCTTTCATTTCACACAACAGTACAGGAATGAAGATCAGGTAAGCAAAGGAAAAGGGTTGCAGATATAGCGTGGTGCTGAGATACAGAGAGCCCTTCCTGGGTCTCATCTCAGTCCATGAAGTTTGTATTTGTAATCCTATGTATAAATTATTCAAATCTTCTTGAGTTAATTCCAACCTACAATACCCAATGCAACCCATGGTGAGAATAAAGACACTAGGACATATTTGTAGTAATGGGGAGTCAAGGGGTACTAGGTCCAGCCATGATGATGGCTATCTGGAACAAAGACCTTCACCCACTGCTGAACCCGGGATCTATTCATTCATGAAGAAAGGAGTGGCTTGAGGATGAGTGAGTGTGAGAATGGTAGAAGTAGGTGAGTGCAGTGAGCTGGGCTAGGTAAGAAACCTGCAATCCCCTCTGCAACATGCAGAGAAAGATATGCAGAAAGAGCATTCTGTATAAAACAGCTGAGATAGTAACAAATGTTTTGGAGTCATTGCTTCAGCTCTGATGTGTAATCTTCTAGCCCCAGGAAGTCATAGGCTCCATCTCAAAATCTGAGGCTGGATCCTAGCTGGACAGTGTGGAGCACTGGCTCTTCATCCCCTCTTGACAGAGCTCAAACTAGAGAGTAATAGGTGGGGGTTTCTGGGAAAACACAACTGCTGTGTTCAAAGACTACCACCAGCAGCTTAGCTACACTGATATGAACTGCTTAGGGCTGGGGAGATGGCTCAGTGGAATAAGCGCTTCCCTGGCAAGTGCAAGGGCCTGAGTTCAATCCCCAGTTCCAACAAAACAAAACCAAAACATGAACTCCTTAAAGCCAATGGAAGGCATAAGGAAACTAGCCAGCTCTGTACATATCAATACATGGAAATAAGGTGAGGCTCAGCCAAAATGGAGACACTTGCTCGACTTTCAAGAGTCACTTAGGTGGCCCTCCACAGTGAGGAAGGTGGATATCCCCTGGGATTACCCGTCCATAGCTCCCAGAGTGTATCATTTATTTTTTGTTGCTGACACAAAATACTCAACACCCAAAGTTAAAAGAGGAAAGGTTGTTTTGGCTCACAGTCTATAGAGGTTTCAGTACAATAGTACGCAGGCAGAAGGGAGTCACAGAGAAGAAACAGTTAAACGCAGGCCAAAGGCAGAAATCAGCAGGCTCAGCATCAGCAAGTGGCAAGTGACAGTAGCAAGCCTCCTGTTATATCCTAGCCAGGCTCCCTACCCTTAGGGAGGAATTGCTCACACCCAGGGAAGGGAACCCTTAATCCTACTATGGAAACATGGATTAATGTCAGCATCAACTACTTGATCTCAGCATCACATACCCTAGATCCAGTCACCTCTAGAAAGCCCCAGCTATGAACATATTATGCTTGAGAGAGACATCTAGGTACAAGCCATATCACTGGAGAATACAATAGTAAGAGGGTCACAAGGCATCCTTGGCAATGAACATCATGCAGGGGATTCTCCATGAGTGAGGGCTGAATCGATGGCAGGACAGTTGATGAATGTTTGCATGAGTGTGTTTGTATGTGGCAGCAGAGGCAGGCCTGCATGCACTCAGGCCCACCCTTCTCTCCTACACACAGGGAGTTACAGCTCTGTGTGCTCCTCCTTAGCCCCCTTCATCTCCTGGATCTTCTGCGGCAGGGTCTCCGTCCAGAACTTCAGTCTGGAGGCCTTCAGGGCACGGCCCACGGTAGGCTCAATGTCCAGCTGCAGGTACTGCTCCTCACTGTCTAATGCAGGCCAGTGGGGCAGGCCCTCACCATTGGGGTTCCTGTGAAGATACCCTCCCAAGAGGGGGTGAGAGGTCAGCTGCGCCTAGGTGAGCACCATCAGAGTGCCTTGATTTATATCAGGACCAGCGGCTAAGCTGGCAAGTGTGGAAATAAGGGGGACATTTCCTGATACAGGGAACAAGGTCATCCCAGTAGTGTCCCCTCCAGGTGAGACAGAGCTTCTGGTCCTGTTTTGTCCATCCCTCTTAGAGGCAGGCTGTGACTGAACCACAGCAGTATGGCCCACCGCACCCCACACACAGGTCACTAGGACAGAAATGAGTGACCTGTACTGGCAAGGCCCCTCTCTGTGTCCCCATAAATCTAGGCCTTGCAATAGAGTTAACATGTGATTTAAGAACACACATAAGCTAACAAAGTCTCCACAGATAAGAGGTGCACCTGATGGGTTTGTACACCAAGGAAGACTGAGGTAGAGGGTATCAGCTCACCCATTTCGTGCAAAGTTGGCCCAATACTTCATCATCCTCCTATGTAGCAGCTCTTCTTCCTCAGTAAACTCAGCTGCAGAGAGAAGACCAAGGCCCAGGTCTTGGATAGATGTTCATCACACTCACCTCCTGCACACTTATGTACCAATCTTATCACTCAGCTATAGCCTGACCCTGGACATGAGGCCTTCCCCATTTATCCTAGAGCCAGGCCTTCCCTTTGCCCAACCTTTGTCATCTCAGTTTATAGTCGAACTGAGCATGGCTTAGTGCTGGACTATAAGGTCCCTTCTTCCTTTCACTCTGGTAAGTCATTTTAAAAAATTGGCTTTGAGATGGTCCCTCCTGCCCTTGTCACCATGCTGACAACATGGTCAGCATGGGGAATCCTGAGGAGGGAACAATAAGTGGAGTGCAAGGCCTTGGATTCTCATCCCAGTACAGTCTCTTGAAGTGTAAGATAGTGAGCATTGATCCTGTCCTCTCTTTGGGACCCAACTTCCTTATCTGGAGGATCAAGTCACAACTCAGGGACCCGACTAGAGCCCCATCCTTGCTCCTGGATGTCAAGGAGACTCACCTTTCTTACCCCACAAGAAGTATCCAAAGACAAAAGGAACCTCATCAGCATGGTCAGCCTTCACATGGGGTGGCCTGATGTTTTTCAGGAAGCTGGGGGGATGTTCGAATTCATAGAAGTAGACAGTGCCACGGGAACCTGAGGAGGTGAACAGCTGTGACTTGTGACCTCTTAACTGGAGTTCTTCTGCCTCACCCTTGTTGATAAAACACCTAAGTCCAGAGTTGGCAGGAATCTGAAGCAGTGTGGTAAAGAGCCCCAGTTTACAGCAGGAACAGTGGCGAGGGACTTTGGTAACTCATGACCTTGGACATCCCAGCTGAACAATTTTCGTATCTCACTGAGTATCACCCTCCTCAGTTTCTCCACTTGTATATTGAGAAAGGTTCTGTCCTTTACACCAGGTGTAAAACCCTGCTTAGGCAGAGCACAGTCACCTGGGTGGAATCCCCGGCAGAGCCATGCTTGCCCTGCCCACAAGGCGCACTGAGACACTGACACTAGGCATGTTGGCACGTGCCTGTATACGCACCACATGTGACAGTGAGAACAGGAGAATCACTGTGAGCCCAGTCTAAGTAGTGAGACACTTTATGCCATGTAGACCCTGTGCTAAATTCATTGAGAAATAATAATAAATAAATAAATAAATAAATAAATAAATGAAAACCATTTTTACTGCGTATTAGATAAACCAACTGGTGAGTTTAATTTTGGCATATTTGTACATGCATAGAACACTGTGATCATTCACCGGCACTGTCTTCCTCCTGATTTCTTCCTCTTCTCTACTAGTCTTTCTTTCATATTTCTCCTTTTTTCCACATTTCTACAGTGCAGGAAATATGTGATATGGGACATTCTGTGCCCGGCTCATGGCACTTAACATAATGATCTGCAGTTCCATCCACTTCCATGTAAATGATGTGAGCTCATTCTACTTTAGGGATGAGCAATATTCTATTTTATGTAAACATATTCCTTATCTGTTCATTTCTTCATGGATACCTAGGATACAGTATAATACTTAGCTATTACAAAATATACTGTAACAATGATGCCTGGGCTGGCCTCTCTGTGGCATGCTGACTCAATTCTTGCAGAATATACTGAGAGTTGTATATCTACATCAAACTGTGACCCTGGTTTTAGTTTTTGGAGGAATCCCATAATGACTTCCATAATGGCTACACTAATTTTATGTCTACCAATAGTAGAGGAGGCTTCCAATTTCTCTACATCCTTAATCCTCAGTAGTATTTATTGTATTTCACATCCCTAAGGACAGACACAGTATTCTTTTTGTGTATGTGTGTGTGGTACTGGGACGTGAATGCTTGGCTTCCACTGAGCTACATTTCCAACCCCTTTTTTCATTTTTTCAATCTGACACATGATCTCACTAATTCATGAAGTTGTCCAAATCAGGCTGAAATTCACAATCCTTCTGCTTCAGCCTCCCAGAACACCGGAATTACAGGAGAAAAGCATATTTATTTATTTATTTTTCCCTGCACAATTGGCAAAGCACGTATTTTGACTTCTTTCCAAACACTCATATAGATGTACTTGTTTATCTTTGTTATGGTGTTTCCTATTCTAGTCCACTGGTCTATGGATCTATGTTGCACTATTACCATACTCTTTTTGTTACTATGGCTTTATAGTATATTCTAAATCAGGAATTGTGACGGTCCAGAGTTACTCTTTTTGCTTCAGATTTAACCACAAAGATTTACTGATATGAGAGACATCAAGTGTCTGGCATCAGAGGCTCAATAAATGGGGATCAGACCTGGGCTCTATAGACTTCACCTGGGACTCTGTTCTGAGCTCCCACCAAGGCAGTGAGACCTCATTTACAGATGTACTCACGATGAAAATGTGCTACTTTCAGCGCAGGAATCACAAACATGGAATCTGCCATCATCTCATGGAACTGGAGTTGAAGGGTCTGGGGGTCCTCATTGTCCCCCATATACTCTTCCATCAACAGGGCACCGAACTCAGCAGGCAACATCTACCTCAGGCGGATCATGGAGAATCAAGTTAGACAGATTTCCAGGTGTGAGAGGGAGATTGGGCTGGGAAAACAGCAGATGGGCCATGGAATAGGGATGGGAAAAAGGTAACTCTTGAGGTGACCCTACGTAGAACCAAATAGGTGGTTCAGTTTATTGTGATGAGACAGCTGCATGGGATGAATGTGAGGGTGCCATATCGTTGGGGTAGGAGCAGCGATCCTCACCATCTGTGTTGTCGTGCTTTGCAGAGCAGCCAACAGAGTCTCTCTGTTCATTTTCTCCTGGATGTCAAAAACCTGGGTCATGGAGAAATAGTACAAACCTAAGTGTCAGATCAGTATGCACCCATATAACCCAGGGGACTCCCATACCAAATGTAACCCCAAAACTACTAAGAGCTGGAACTGGGCCTTACCATGGGCAAGCCCCAGCCATACTCATCATTGTTGATACCGATGATGCTGGGGACAGGTTGAAAGTCAGCAGAGGCCAGGAGCTCCTGGGGGTGCCTGGGCAGGAAGACTCCATCCACTACAGATGGGATGACCTTGAAGGACTAAAGGAACATTCAAAACAGGAATCAAGGTCAGGTCTCATACTTTTTTTTAGGTCTCAGATATTTTCTAAGGCCCAATGACTTCCTTCCAGCCTCTCTTTAACTCATCTCAGGATACTCATAACCACCCCAGGAATCCCACCTTTGACTTAGCACATCTTTGTGCACATTTCCCATGCAGGTCTGTGTGCACAGCAACCCAGGCAGACATACTTCTGAGAACAGAGTAAAAGACTCCCTCACTCACACAAAATCACCCCTTTCACCCACATCTGAGAACAACCAACCTGTGTAATAGTCACAATCTCCTCTTCACTCTTGCCACGTAGGCATCTCACCATGGCCTCTGAGTCAGCATTCTCACAACCAGAAAGGTTGGCCACTATCTGAAATTAGTTCAGGCAGGGGCTAGCTCATTCTTGCAGGCAGGAAGAGGACTCATTGCATGCAGGTAAACCCCAATTTCACAGGATACCCTATATGAATTGCTGCCAGTATAAACTCTTCTTTCTCCTCTGCTGATCAGAAATCTCACCCAGAGGGGCCATCACATTTGTTTCCATGGTTCCACAATAGGTACCTCATCAGTTACCTTTGCTGACCACAGAAAATACCCAGATTATTAGAGGCAAAGCTATGCAGATTCTCACCCTTGAGGATCTCAGCATCCCTAGGAAGGCTGTAATTCCCAGGCCATCTCAACTGCCCTCATTGTTCCCACTAAATGACAGTGCACCCGAGGCTCTGAAGCTGAGAGAAAAAAGAGGGGTCCTGTGAAGCGTTGGTTGGAGGTACGCACCATGGAGATGCCTTCAGATGAGTTGGAGATGAGATCAGGTAGCAGGGCTACTCCACTCTCCATGATGGCAGCGTGGAAGAGTCCTTGGGACATGGGGGACAAGACAAGTGAGGACACGCTTATGCCACCTGCTGACTCGCCAAAAATGGTGACACGGTCAGGGTTGCCTCCAAAGTGAGCAATATTCTGCTGTACCCAGCGTAGGGCAGCCACTTGGTCCAGGTAGCCCCAGTTTCCAGAAGCGTGTTGGTCTCCAGTGCTGAGAAGTGACAGGCACAGGGGTCACAGGCCTGCTCTGGCTCTGCTCAGTCTTATTTCCCAGCACCACTGCCCAGCCTTACCTGAAGAAGCCCAGCACACCAAGGCGATACTGGATTATGACCACCACCACATTCTCAGAAGCTGCCAGAATGGAGCCATCATACACAGAGGCCATGCCTACAATCAGCCCACCACCATGGATCCATACCATCACCTGGGGAAGTAAAGAGAGAGGCCATGAGACTTCTGCCCAATCCAAACAACACCTGGCCTTCTCATACACTATCCACTGCCTAGGCTCTATGTAACTACTGCACAGGACTCTAGTAAGACAACATATCTGAGGCATGAGAGACAGACCCAGTTTCAATCAGGCCAACCAGGCTTTCTTACTTTTAGGTCAACCCCATGAATCCAAGCCTGGATTTATTACTCTCAGATCCCTCGACAATGGAAGACAAGGGGGAATTTCTGATATTGTCCTGCATAAATAATAATAAAAATACTATTTCCTTGGCCCAACAGATAAACTACAGCTGCGTTCTTGGCTGATTTCAAAGTGGAGCGCTTTGGCACTAAACCTCTGATCTCTGGCACCAGTTAGGGCTCTGTGACTTAATGCCTAGGGGTCAGTTGCCCAACCTGACCGAGCAGCTCCTCTTGGTCTCCATAGCAGAAGGCTTCACAGCAGGGTCTACATGGCAACACAGCCAAGCTAACCACATCCACTTTTATCCTATTCTCTTTCAGTTTTGTTTGATTTTGTGGTGCATGAACTTGAACCTAGAACTTTGTGCTTGAGAGGCAAATACATATCACTAAGCCATATCTTTAGCCACCTTCTAATCTTTGAGAAGAAATGTCCTCCCCTACCCAATCTGACCATGGTTACACACTCACAGGCAGGCTAGATCCCTCACGGACATGAGCAGGTGTGTAGATGTTGAGGTACAGGCAGTCTTCAGACATGGGTATAGGGAGCGGGGTCACATTAAACACCTTCATACCCTCTGGACTACTTAAGGCAGCATCTTGGGGACACCTGGTGTCAAGGAAAGACAATTTTTCCAAGGCCAGTTGTGGTCAAAACCACTGTGGTAACTGATCCTGTCAGTTGGTACAGTTCCTGTTTAGGATGTAGTCTCTGTAAGGGAGTTAACAGTATTGCTCATCCTGAGATCCAGGTTGTCTCTGCTGCTGGATCAGAGGTTCTCCCAAGATTGAAAGATTAACCTGAGTATCTTGCAGAGAGCTCCTCAATGCCATAGAACAATACTATAACTCAAAGCCACAAATAAATCTGTCTTTGCCCAATTCTTCTGCACCTAATACCTTTAGGTCCCCAACCCTGAGCTGAGTGTAACATAGTTCCTCTACCCTCTGGAGCCCAGAATACTCAATACAGAGGAAAACTGGCTGTACAATTTAGTTGCATCCCATCTCTGAGTTCAGAGCACCCAATCCCTCCCAAGGGCCTGAGTTTCCCCAGCTCCCCAGAGAGCTTACATAGCAGGGTGGGAGGAGGCATCCCTCACACCACTCCAGGGCTCAGGGGCTTCAGGGGGTGCAAACCGCAAAGGTCCTAGAGGTGGCTTGGCAAAGGGAATTCCCAGGAAAGTGTGGACCTCCAAATCGGTGCCCTTCACATGCACAAGGCTGCCCCGCACCTGTCCTGTGTTTGTGGTCTGGATGGGGCTGGCAGAGTCCTGGGCTGTGGGCAGAGAGATGCACATCAGGGCTGGGTGTGCCCCGTTAGCTGCCTCACACATTGGTTATTTCTACCTCAGTTCACTCTTTCAAGGGACCCTGATCTGCAAAACTTTGCTTCAGACACATTTTGGCTGTTATATTCTCCTTCCATACTACCACCAGCATCACTGGGCCTGACTCCAGCTTATGCAAAAGAATGTCAGGGTGTCATAGGATCTTCCATCAAAGATTCTTATGTACTTATGGGGGACAGTTTCTTCTATACTAATTTTGCCAGTTCCTGTATGGTACTGGGAGGATTCAACTAAAAAGTCTCCTATCCTCAAAGACTTCCTGCTTAAGGTAGCGTGACATAAAGAAAACACCTCTCCACACCTCCATACAAAGAGGGCTATGACAAGGAAAGCTATGAGAAAGAGATGCACTTGTGACCAAACCATAAGTCCATCTGCCTCTGGCAGGGTCTGGAGGGGAGGAAAAAACTGACCACCTAATGGTCCAGAGGACAAAATGAGGAAGTCCAAATGCCCATTATTGTTGAAAACGGATGATGGACACATAGTGCTCGTGAGCTCTCCTCTCTCCCTTACAGGAGGCCGCTCAATGCTGTTCACCATTCAATCACCCCTGAACCTCTCTGTGCTTCAGCGTGCAGAGAAGTGTCATACAGGGAGGTGTCCATGCACAGTCCCCTGCAGCTGTCATCTCCACCAGGTACCACCTCCCTCCTGCTGTCTCAGGTTCTTCTGCTGGGCCCAATTCCACAAAGAAAAAGTTAAACATCACCAAACATTATGGAGAGCTAATACTCCTATCCATCCCAATCAGGTCCACATGAATCAGCAAGTCTGATGACACATGGAGCAGCTAAAGACAGGATAGCAAAGTCAAGCATGGTGGTGTGCCCCTGTAATCCCAGCACTGAGGAGGTTGAAAAGAGAAGCACTATGATTCTGAGCTGCATAGTGATACCCTGTACCAAATACATTAAAGACTGGGTACCAGCCACTTACAGGCACCAAACCGGACAGTTTTCAACATCTTCCCAAATCCAAAAGAAAACTCCTCTCCCTAGTAATGTGCTACTTAAAGACACCTTTCTACATGAGATCTCTGTCCATATAATTCACTATGGCCACCAGATACTGACAACTTATATTTGTTACAACACAAGACAAAACCTGATGGGGTGTCCCAGTTGGAAGATTGGGTACACATATCTTAGAGTTCTGGGCACAGCATGTCATATACTATGATATTGATGTTATCACGGAGCCAGCAGATCTGAATCAGTGAGTGGGAGGTAGACCTCAACTCTGCATCCCTTTATCACTCCTCAGTGATACTGAACATAAATCCAAGCCAAAAGATTTGTTTACAGAGGATGAATCAAAGAGATTCCGGCAGTCATCCTTTGTAGAAGTTGTGTTGCTAAGAGCCTGGTCATTAGCAGGTACAAAAGCAATCTAGGACCAGGGAGATGGCTCAGTAGAATAAGCACTGGCCTGGAAAATCAAGGACCTGGGTTCAATCCCTGGTTCCACCAAAGAGAGAGAGAGAGAGAGAGAGAGAGAGAGAGAGAGAGAGAGAGAGAGAGAGAAGCAATCTAGCAGGGTATATCCTAGGGCTGATTAGAGTGGTGGCTCTGTGCAGACTGGAATCAGAAAGGGTAAGGGCAGGCTGCCAGCTCCTACATCATGAGGCTTTCAGTGACAGGGTCAAAAGCTGAAAATTCACCCTGCATATGTAGCCATAATGGTATCAGCTCCTGATAAGAACCTGGGTATATCTTGAAGGCACATAAAACATCACCTCTACTCTAGAAGCCAAGCCATACTTTTGCCCGAGTTTGGGATATGGAATGAAAGAAACCTAGAGCTCCCTCAGCTCAGCTTGGAGATGTGGTACCCAGGGTCTTCTGTTTTTCAGAGCCAGTAAATTTGCCTGAGGCACCTTCAGAGGATTCTAGGGTCACCCCTGGAAAATCTGGCATCATGCTTAGAACCCAGTGCCTTCAGGAAGCTATTGCTGTCATAATTGTTATCCCTGAAGGCCAGGATCAGCTATAGCCATAGCTACATTCTGGGCTGAAATGCCCAGAATTCCAGCTCCCTCCACAAGGCTTCTGACCTATGTTTTCAGCACTCCTCATAGCCCTCATGCTGGATTCCCTCTGAAGTGCTGCATGTCCTTAGCTCTAATCATTTCTATTCTCTCAAGGCCCACTTAGGGCACTGGGCAGGTTTGGAGATGGTCTTTAGGCCCAACATTCCCACACTGTAGTTTGACATTTCCACCAGCACTTCCCTCCCTGGAACTTCGCTTCCATATTCTTAGGCTCTAACTCTGCACTTTGCAGATGAGACACAGTCCCTACCACCCCCTACAGGAATCTTACCCTGGGCACACATGAGAAGAAGCAGGAGTCCACAGACCATAGAGTTCAGCCAGGCAGGAAACTTGTCCAACCACATTTCTGTTTACAGGCCAGTTTCTGTTCTGCTATTGAAGAAACTGTGTTTCGCCAACAAGAAACAGAAGAATGAACTGTCTCTGCTAGAGTTTGAACCTGGCAGAGATAGGTGGGGCACAGAGTAGGCAGGGCAAGGTGGAGATTGCAGATGAGGTAGGCAGAGGTCCACGGAGCCAGGAGGCAGAAGGGGGAGCATAGCCACCTTCCCTTCCTTTGGCTTTCTCTCACTGCCTCAAAGGATAATCTCTTATCTTCTGCAGTCCTTGTGAGCTAACAGGAAGTCCTTTTCTCAAAACTAGTCACTATGCCTATTATCTTTGCAGTCACAGCTGGAAGAGTGTTGAGGGTCAAGAGGAGGGAGCAAGAAACCGTAACTGGAAAACTCAGGAGTGCTGCTTGAAGAGTTGTGGGATGAGATTCCCCAAGGATAGAGGAAATCAAATTTCGCTGTGGGAGGCTGGAAAGGCTTGAACACATACAGGGAGTTGTGATTGTGCCCTTCATGCTGACAGCTCCTCTTTGCGTTTTGCACTGGGACTCAAACTATTATAATGGGTGCGACTTCACAGGTCCGTCCTCCTTTAGGTCTGGGAGGGAATGCTGTTCTTTCCCTATTCGTCCCTGCTTCTGAAATACAAAAGTGAATGTGTTGGGCTGGTGAGATGGCTCAGTGGTCTAAAGCACCTACTTAAAACAAGCTTAGCAAAGCACAGGGACCGCGGTTCGATTCCCCAGCACCACATGCCAGCCAGCGCCGCCCCCTGGTGGGCTGAGCTGGCCACACACACACACACACACACACACACACACAAAATAAATAAATAAACTTTAAAAAAAGTGAATGTGCCACTTCTTAGTGACTCACCCAGGCTGGGGCGGGTAAAGGGTTTGAGTGTCCTCTTTCCAGGGGAGGTAGACCTCATTGTCGCTTATCCACCTAACAAATAACTAAAAAGTACCTACTGTATCTCAAATCATGTTCCTGGGGGTGATCCCCAGGCCTATTGTTCTACGGGGCAGGCAGGAAATCACTAAGACATTCCGAAATATGGTGAACCCTGCCAGGATAGAGGGAAGCCAGCCTGGGCATCTGAGTGCCTGACTGCCTGACTTCCCGGAGAACTGGGTGTGAGACTTAACCACAGACTGCTCTGCGGCTCATAAGTGTGCTAGGTCAACTGGCCTTGGTCTCAATATGTCTTTTCCGGATTGGCCCCCACGGCGCAGCATCCCGGGAGTTCCTTCTAATTGTCCTGAATGCGAGTAGTCTACAAGCCAAAACCGCTGGTCATCTCAAACTCAAGCCTGAGGGATGGCAGCGAAAACTGTCCCTAGCGAGATCCCGTAGTAAGGCCACGCCTCTTCCTGTTCCCAGGATTTGCATAGTTTGGAGCGGAAGTATATGCAAATTGGTGTGGACTGTGGCTCAGGGATGGTGGGCTTTGGCGGCGGTGGAGGCGGGGGCGGAGTTGGAGGTGGGGGCGGGGTGGGCGGTGGGCTTCTGGAGAACGCTAACCCCCTCATCTATGAGCGTTCTGGGGAGCGGCCTGTGACGGCGGGCGAGGAGGACGAGCAGGTTCCGGACAGCATAGACGCGCGCGAGATTTTTGATATCCACTGCTGCTGGGTCGGGGCGGGTTCTCGGGTCCTTGGGAAGGAGCTGTAAAGTCCAGCAGTTGGTGGAGGAGTATCCCGGACGGGCATTCCTGGCCGAGGGTTCTGAGTGGAGAAAAACGAAAAGTCCTTTTTCCTTCATTTGACACATCTTATTCGCTCTATCAATGACCCGGAGCATCCGCTGACACTAGAAGAATTGAACGTAGTAGAGCAAGTTAGGGTTCAGGTGAGTTACTACCAGTGACAAGCGCAACTTGTCTGAGACAGTCAGATTCCACTATATACAAGAGTGACGTTTTTCAGCCCGTGAACTCCCAGGGGGATCTTTGGAGGAGAGATTCTTGTGCTCATTTTATGAATGTTGAAGCAGAAGCCCATAAAGGCTAGATGACTTGCCCAAAGCAACCAAAAAAAGACCCTCCCTCAGTGTTGGAGGTGTCCGTGGACCCTGATGTCTTTTCCTCACTACCACCAGGTTAGTGATCCTGACAGCACAGTGGCCGTGGCCTTTACACCCACCATTCCACACTGCAGCATGGCCACCCTTATTGGCCTGTCCATCAAAGTCAAGCTCCTGCGCTCCCTTCCCCAGCGTTTCAAGGTCAGTTGGAATTGGGCACCATTTGTGAAACGAGTGTAGGGGTCTGGTACTGACACAGGACAGTGAGAGCAAGAACCTTATGCTTGTTGAGGTGGAGCCAGCAGAAACGACCTAGAGGAAGTTTTCCAATTTGATGCAACAAGAATAAAGATATGAGCTGTAAAGAATAGAAAAGTAGTGAGGAGTTTGGCAGGAAGGCAGTTGGGAAGCTGTAGATGGATATGAGTCAGGGATGGCCTATGCTGTGGATAAAGTTGGCATGGCTGTGAGTAGATTTGGGGTGCAATGGAAGAGGGAGTCCAGAGGTATAATTAGGAGAGGGGATCAGTTCAGGATGTGCCCCAGGGTTTAGAGGGAGGGAACAAAAAGGTGGATGGATACTCAGGCTCAGATTATCTCCTTACTAGATGGATGTGCACATTACTCCAGGGACCCATGCCTCGGAGCATGCAGGTAAGTGTGAACTGATGGCATTGGTGATGTCCTATGGTCTTAAGTTGTCTGTGGCTTTCCCCTTGCTACAGTAGTTTGTAAGACAGAATTAAGGTGGGACTAAATTAGTGAAGTTGACAGAGACTCTTCAATGAAAGTGATAGCCTAGACCAAAGTAGCCTGACCCAGGCCTTCTGCTTTCCATGTTCTCCCCTCCTACAATCTCCTAGTACCCATTCCAGTGTGACAGGCTTTAGCAGTACTGGAAGCAAATACGGGTAGCCAGGTGGAAAGGATTGTAATAAAGCAGTCTAGCTAGGAGCTCAGGAAGGTGGGGTAGGCTAATCAAGGGTTGGAATCCCCAGAATGTGATAGGACAGCCGCATTGATAGGACATACTGTACTAAAATGGAAATGGAGTTTGCTAGCAGCCTAGCCAGAGCCTGGCTTTGATTCTGCCTTTCATACTCTTCCTTCCTGCCTAGTGAACAAACAGCTTGCAGATAAGGAGCGGGTGGCAGCTGCCTTGGAGAACACTCACCTGCTGGAGGTTGTGAATCAGTGTCTGTCAGCCCGCTCCTGAGCCTGGATTTGACCTTCACCATGTACCAGTGTCCTAACCTCAGCTTCACCTGGAGCTCATGGCTTTGTTTTCTTGAATCAGTGACAACAAGGATCTAACATTTTGCTTTTTGTAATAAATCCTTAATTTATATTCATTTCCTGGTATGTCATAGTGTCTTAGTGGTGGGGGCCTAAAATTTGGGAGAAGATAGTGGTAGTGGAATACAGGATGGATCAGTGCATTGTAGTTTCTTTAATTTTGGAATTTTATCCCAATATTTTGATTAGGGAAAGTTGCAAGTATACAAGAAGTATTAAAAGAGTAATATATAAATATATCTATATACCACATAATCCACCACTACATTCAATAGTTGTTGACCTGTTAAAACACTGGCCTAATTTATGTTTGTATACTGTATATTGGAGAGTAATCTGCAGAGACATGAAGCGTTGATTTCAAGGATTATGTCCTGCATTTGCATTAGAAAAGTTATTAAAGGGCTGGGGAGACAGCTTGGCAGCATAAGCACCTTCCTTGCAAGCTCAAGGTCCTGAGATTTATCTGCATTACCACATGCCATGCTACCTACCTACCCCCAGAGCCCTGGCACACAGTGCTGGTGGTGTGTACCTGTAGTCCCAGCTCTGGGACGGCTAGGACAGGAGACTCACTATGAGTCTGAAATGCTGGTAAAACCCTATACCAAAAAATAAACAGGGCTGGCCAAATAGCTCAGTGGATTAAGGCACTTGCTTAGGCAGATGCAGGGGCTGGGAGTTCAATGCCTGGGCCTGCCATGCCAGCCCTGCCCCCACCGCTAGGGCAAGATTGAGACTGGGCATGGTGGTGCGTGCCTGTAATCCCAGCATTTGGGAGGCTGTAAACAGGAGGATCACTATGAGTTCAATCTATGCAGTGAGACCCTGTACACCCTGTCCTAAATACCAAAAAAAAAGAAAAAAAAAAGTCAGGGCTGGTGAGATATCTCAGAGAACTAAGCTCTTGCTTAGGTAAGCACAGGGACTGGCGTTTGATCTCCAGCATCACGTGCTGTGCGGGCCTGGTCTCTCAGGCATGCTGAGCTGGCCACGCAGACTGGGTGTGGTAGCACATGCCTGTAATCCCAGGGATGGGGAGGCTGAAAACAGGAGGATCAGTGTGAGTCTAAGCTGCATAGTGAGACCCTGTACCAAATACATTTAAAAAAAAAAAAAAACACAGTAGTTTTACCTGGCCACAAAAAAATGAACAACTCTTCAACTCATATCCAGTCCTATGAATTTCCCCCAGAAGGCACTCATGGTAATAGGTTTTTTTAAAGAATTGGGTCCACTTAAGGCTTATCATAAAAAAAGAGACATGTATTGCATTTGATTGTTATCTCTCTTTAACCAATAATTGTCTCAGCTTTTCCTCACTATAACAAATACCCAAGATAATCACTTTAGAGAACAGACTTATTTGGGCTCACAGTCAAGGTTTCAGGCCACGGTTGGCTGCGTTGCTCTCAGGCCTGTGACTCATGACTGATCCTACTGGAGAGGGCATGCCAGAGCAAAGCCCCTCAACTTATGGCAAAGAAGCAAAGGACTGAGGTCCTATTACCCTTGAAGTGCACCCTCTGGGCAACCTAAAGACCCCCTCTAGGCCCCAACTTTTAAAGGTTCCACCTCCCAATAATGCCATCTCTGAGAAACAAGATTTTACCACATGGGCCTTTGGGGGACATTTCCAGATCCAGCCTGTAGTACCCACCTTTGATTTTCTGAGACAGGATCTCACTATTAGTTCAGGTTGATCTCTATGTAGTTCAGGCTGGCCTTGAACTTGCATCAATTCTCCTGCCTTAACTCCCTGAGTGCTGGGAGTACAAACATGTGCCCCCATACATTTTTGCATTTTTTGACACTAACTTAAAAAAAAAAAAAGTCCAGGTGAACTATCCAAGAGAAGCCAGCACTACAACCTGATTTATTTCTGTGCTGTGTTTCCTATAAATTAAAGGCAGTGCACTGGGCTGAAGCCTTTATACTTAACTGTGTAGTTTATCAGTTTTTCATCCAGCCTGTGTGACAGTTGCTTTTTGTTATCCCCAATTTACAGGTCAGAAAACAGGCTTCTAGAATAGTTTCTTTCTCAAGACTTCCAGCTAGGAAATAAAGGAGCTTGGGTAGCCTGACAGGTGCTTTCTGAAAGGGACACTGTTACCTCCATAGAGGGGCCTAGGCCCACCCCAGACCCCAACTCATGTTGTCTTCACAACTTACTCTTAGGAGTGGCTTTGCCACCTACTGATCAAAAAGAGGCTCTGGATGTCGCTGCTCAAGATCAGAAAGTTGAAAACATCAGCCTGTGTCTCTCAAAGTTTCATCATCTGTGATGTGGCAGTCTCTTGGACTGCTTTGTGTAAAATGGCCCAGGCCTATCACAGATGACTTTCCAGTCAGTAGATCCCTCATTTCCACAGACGAAGGAGCTGAGAGTTCCAGAGAAGCAGGGTGACTGACCAGAATGATCGGGCCCCGGGAAGCCTCCCCACACTGTAGGCCCCACCACATGTGAATCTCTTCCCTGACAGACTACATCTGTGTAAAGGGGTGTTTGTGTCCAGCTGGTTATGGGCGTCAGAAGGGAGACAGGTGCTTCTGAGTCATTCCACTGGCCCTCCTGTCAGCCAGGTCACAGTGGGTAAGGGATACAAGCCTGCTCATGCCATTGCTGGCATTTCAAATAGTCCCCTTGTAGTTTTGACTCATCTGTGCCTGGCTGCTGGCTGCCTGCAGGACACCATCTGTGCAGACTGAGCACCTGCTCAAGGAACTTTCTGGAACCCCAGCTGCTATGTGAGGACAGGGGTACAAGGAGATGGTGAAGCTTAAGGTCTCTGAAACCCCCACCAGGTATATCTGTGTCTGTTTCTAACCATGACCACTCACACCTCAGTTACTATGTCTGCCAAATGGGAATAACAAATCATAGCTAAAAACATTGTTCCAGGGATTAGATGATACATAGGAATGTGCCCAGCCATGCCTATTTTCACTCATTATGCTAACATCAACACAAAGGCCAAGCACACAGTAGGTGCTCATATGAGTCAGTGGAATCAATGAATGAATGAAGCCTTGAAGCAGAGCAGAGGCCCTGCCTGGGACATTGGGTTGTGGTGTGAGAAGGGGTAGGGACAGGAAGTCCAACTAAGTTCCTTCTGCAGTATTTTGTTACCTGAAGGAGAAAGGAGAATGTTAATCCCACAGAAAGGAGAAGGGTATAGGGGACAGGAGAGAATTCTCTACATTATTCTCAAGATCTCTCCCCTTTTGCTGGGCTGTAAAGAATGGAGCAGAAGCAAAAGAAGGCCCGCAGATTCACTCAGTCTGCCCCATCCAACAAAGGGTGATAATAATTGAAGTATTCTTGCTGAAATGTCACTCTAGCCAGACTGCAGTCAACTACCTTATCTGTGCATTTTATGTTATATATGTCTTAGAACAACCCCCAGGAAGACATTAGCCCTGGCCTCCACAAAAGGAAATGGACCCAGCCAGGATAAATGGATAGGAATGAAACACATCTAGAAAGGATAGAAGGTCCTGGTTCTGGATCCAGTCTCAGGTTTTTGGGTTTTTTGTTTTTTGTTTTGGGGTTTTGTTTTTTGTTTTTTGTTTTTTCCTTCTGGACAACCAAATTGAGCCAGAGAGCTGGGAGGGCTAGGAAGTAGGAGAGTGGGTATATCTCAAGGTCATGTCCAAATATTGGAACCTGGGGCCCTGGCCATATCCAGGCTTGTCATGAGTGTCTCTGACCTGTGGAGGCAGCCACCAGAATTCCTGGGATCTGAGTAGCCCTGTGTGGATACAGTTCCCCTGGCAATGAAGACACAACTGCTGAGATCAAGAGCTCAAATTACTAGAGGGGAAAGCCAGCCCATTTCCAGTATGGTCCCCTGCTGGGAAGGGTTACAGCTCTCCCCAAACTCACACTGCCAGACACTGCTAGACACTGAGGGGCTTTTTCCAGAACAGTTGGGCAGGTACAGGGGAAGGGGTGGCATAAATAGCCAGCAAGGTTTCCTAATGGAAAGTACTATGCTGACTCTTGAGATTTCTGTTCTGACAGGAGCTGGTTCTGACAGGAACTCCCTCTTCCTGCTAGCTCTCATCCAGGAAGCCAAGGCCAGCATGGGCTGTCCTGTATGAACACCCTAACCTTACCTAGATAGGCCCTTTCCAATTCAAGGCCTTCTTGAGTGTTGCCAAGGAAACTGACATAGCCAGAATCTGGCCCAGGCTTCCATGACAACCTGCAACAGCCCACTAGCCCATCCATTTGTGATGTCACCTGAGCAGCAAATGACTGATAGCAAGTCCCTATTGGAGAGTACTCCACAGCCTGCCTGTCCATTCCCAATCCTCACACATCCCAAGATGACTAAGGAGTAATTAGTAAGTCATGATGCTCAGTTTATAGCTCAACATGCTGAAGCTGGGACATGGGCAAAACTCAGGACTAGACATCAAGTCTCATTCTCTCTCCTTCCCTTTGTGCCCCTAGGTTCTACATCAGGTCTAAGAATGAGTTCTGGACAGAGTATGGCACCAGCAGTGGCTAAGACTACCACACTACATTTATGTCCCTCCTGGATGGGATGTAAGCTGGACAGTAGGCTCAGTTCAGGGCTAGGGATCAAGGAAATTTGCAGACTAAAGTGACTGGCTCCTGTTGGCACCCCACACTGGCTGTCTGGATTCCCCAGTTCTGGGCAACCTCCAACCCAGTAGCAGAATGACCAGGGCCAGGCCAGGGGCAGATATTTTTAGTAGAGTTGCTGGCAGTTGCTTGTAGGGTACCGGGAGGTGAGGTGGAGACTGAGTTAATCTTTTCTCTGGGCCTCTATTTCCTCCCCAGAATTCAAGGCCTCTTCCTCAGCAGCCTCTGACAGGCCAGGGATTCACAGGTGACACCAACCTTTACCTGGAAAGCAGCCTCATTAGGGAGCCTCTTCAACTCCCAGGGACAGAGAGGGAAGTAAGAAGGACTTGCAGATGAGGCCACATATACCAACTAGGATCCCTAAATTCTAGTTTGGATCTGGGCCTGCGGGGAGTGGGTATCTTGGGCCTAGAAGAGTGAATCTCTGGCCAGTCCACTAGTTTTACCTGCTTGGGCAAGAGGCCAGGACTGGGAAAGAGAATTTGCTCTTTAAGGGTCAGATCTAATTGCTCAGAGGGGAGCTGCGTTTGACTGGTCCAGTTTACCCACTGCCTCCCTCCTCTCTGAGCCACTCATCTCACTCTCCTCTTCCTCTCCCCCTTTTCACACTCAGCGCCGGGGCTGCAGGCTACCTGCCCCGCCCCTGGCGCGGGGAGGGGAGGCGGAGTGTCTCTGCCAGCGAGAGGTCCTAGGAGGAGGTGGGGGATTCCCGCGTTGGCTGCAAGGGGGCGGACACGTCAGCCCCCACAGCAGCGTGGACCGGAGACGGGGGCGGGGGTGGGGGCGGGCAGAGGTTTAAATAAGCAGCCCTGGAGCCAGGACCCAGAGCCCACCGAGGGAGCTGCGGAGAAAGGAGGTGGCAGCTGCTAAGCAGTGTGGGTCTGGCTGTCGAAAGCCTGACTGCGAGTGGATTGTATCTGAGCCCTGCGTGGACTATAGCAGAGTCCAGGTCCTGGTCCTGAAGGTGCCTGTGTGCGAGTGGGTGAGTGTTCAGATGGAGAGGGATGGGCTACAGGTTCCGCAGGTGGGTGGGTCGGGTCCGGGTGGGCCACAGATTAGGATGCAAAGACTGTGTGGCTGCGAGTAGGTTTAGGCTCCGGTCTCTCCTCCCTGTGGCTTATGCGGCCATTCGGTTCTGTTCCCGCAGACGGCAGATCCGACGCGATGACCCTGAACGGTGGTGGCGGCCGCGGGGCAGGCGGGAGTCGAGGCGCAGGCACCGAGCGCGAGCGCCGTCGGGGCAGCACCCCTTGGGGCGCGGCGCCCCCGATGCACCGTCGCAGCATGCCAGTAGACGAGCGCGACCTGCAGGCGGCGCTCACTCCCGGGGCCCGGGCTGCAGGTGTGGCGGTCTCGTGCACCTCGACCCAGGGTCCGAGGCTAGACTGGGCAGAGGGCTCCTCCGATTCGCTGAGCTCTGGGGGCAGCAGTTCCGACGAGAGCATATACAAAGTGCTGTTGCTGGGGGCCTCTGGCGTAGGCAAGAGCGCCCTGGCTCGCATCTTCGGTGGTGTAGAGGATGGCCCTGAAGCAGAGGCTGCAGGTAAGGGAATAGGCTGTTCAGGGGAAAGAGAATCTGAGGATTACCAGAAGGAAGGAAGGAAGGAAGGAAGGAAGGAAGGAAGGAAGGAAGGAAGGAAGGAAGGAAGGAAGGAAGGAAGGAAGGAAAGGAGTGCAGTGGGCTAGGAACTGGACTAAATGGGCTAACGCCATGGTACTCTAAATGCATTTTCAGAATTATACCTCTGCCTTTCCACTTCAAGATAGGGAAATTAGGGCTGGGGAGTTAGCTTGGCAGTCTAAGTGCCTTCCTGGCAAGTGTAAGAACCTGGGTTCGATCCCCAATACCACATGCCATGTTTGGCCACCAAAACTGGGTGTTGTGGTGCATGTCTGTAATCCCAGCACTGGGAATGCTGAGACAGGAGGATCACTGTTAGTCCAAACTGCATAGCAAGACCCTGTATCAAATAAATGAATGAATGATTTTTATAAAAAAGGTAGGGAAACTAAAGGTAATGAGACACCATCCTCACATCCCACATGCACATTGTTGGTATAGAAGAAATGCCCAGAACAGAAGACCAGAGGCTTGGCTGTGACTGTTCTGCGGCATAGGGACCAGAGGGAGTTTCTAGGAGTAGAGCCCTAGGTGGCCAAGAGATGGCCAAGGGATGTGACAGTCACTGTTCTAACTCAGGACATTTTGACCAGAGTCATGTTGGGACCAGGCAACAGGGAGGCTGGGAGCACTGGAGACACTACTAGGACATTACTATCTTGGGGAGATGTGGGAAGGTCAGGCATACCATGCCCTGCATTCCCCAGCCCCCAGCACTGCCTCTTCTCCTGCTCACAGTAGCCATGTGCAAGTAGAAGAGTACCTTAGCGGGGCTCTGGGAAGGATTGGGAGGGTGTGGCCAGAACTGGAAAAGGAACAGTGGAGGCTTTCAACAGCCAACCAGTAACCTGTTCACTGGCTTCTTGCCTAGGGCACACATATGATCGATCAATCACAGTGGACGGAGAGGAAGCATCACTTATGGTCTATGACATTTGGGAACAGGTAGGATGCAGCTGGGACCTACGGTAGGAGTTGGAGGAGAGAGCTGGGTGGGGGAGGTCCTACCAAGAGTGACAGGCTCAGTGCAAGGGGCACAAGGACTGTTGGATAGGTATGTGCATTTGTGTGCACTCTCCAGGATGGAAACCGATGGTTGCCTGGCCACTGCATGGCCATGGGGGATGCATATGTCATCGTGTACTCAATAACTGACAAGGCCAGCTTCGAGAAGGCCTCAGAACTTCGGGTCCAGCTGCGGCGGGCACGGCAAACAGATGACGTCCCCATCATCCTTGTGGGCAACAAGAGTGATCTGGTGCGCTCCCGTGAAGTCTCCGTGGATGGTAAGTGAGCAGCAGGTCAGCAAAGGGAGGGAGATCCTGGCTGGGCTGCTGTCCAGTTAGTCTTGGTTCAGCCTGAGTCCCTGGAGATCATCAGTGGCTAAAATTGTTCAGGAAGAGAACTTGAAAGGATAGAAAGACAGAGAGTGGGCTGCTGTCCCTCTCAAAGGCCTGGAGAAAGAACCAGATCTGCTAGGGGAGCTGAGTCACCTCAGAGTCCTTGGCCATGACCCAACAGGTGGGAGTTGAGTGGTGGAAGAGAGTGCAGAGAACCAGGCCAGAAGGAAAGAGCCTGGTTCCAAGCTGAGGCCAGTCTCACGATAGGCGTGGTCCTTCCCCCTTGGGCTCAGCCTCCTCCTCTATGGCTCCCAGCACTGATCCTGCCAGTGCCTTGGTACAATTGCCTTTCCCCTCTATACTGACTATACTGACTGACTATACTGAGTCACTTAGCATAATATACGTTAAACCATAAGGCATTACACTGTCCAATATAGTTTTCATTTTTGTTGGTTGACTATTACAGCGCTTTTATTTAAATATTGGACTTCAAATAAATAAATGAATCTCTTTTTGTGCACCACCATTTTGGGGACTCCATAAACACAGGCACATTCAGCCTTTGGGGTTACCCAGCAGTACCAGGGATCTTCAGTACAGGAACTATAGTCTTTGTTTCTGAAGAGGGCTCCCCTTTACCTTATTCAAGAATTCCTGAGTGATTGCTGCCTGGGGATGGCAGGGTTGGAGTGGTGTCCCTGCCTCCCCACCCTTTGCTTACTAGTGTGTGCTTGTCCCCACCACACCAGAGGGCCGGGCCTGTGCCGTGGTCTTTGACTGCAAGTTCATCGAGACATCAGCCGCATTGCACCACAATGTCCAGGCATTGTTTGAGGGTGTTGTGCGTCAGATACGCCTGCGCAGGGACAGCAAAGAGGCCAATGCTCGGCGGCAAGCTGGTACCCGGCGGCGAGAGAGCCTTGGCAAGAAGGCAAAGCGCTTCCTGGGTCGCATCGTAGCACGGAATAGCCGCAAGATGGCCTTTCGGGCCAAGTCCAAGTCCTGCCATGACCTCTCAGTTCTCTAAGGCCCCTCACTGTGGTGGGCAAAGGGATGGATGAGTTGATGGGCTGATCCAGCCAACCACCCCAGTGCCTCCAGACTGGCCCCTTGGAGCTTCATCCTAGACCTCCCCTACCTAATGGTCATGGACAGACAATACTGCACAGGGAGGCAGCTCCCAGTGGCCAGTGAGGGCTGGGCCCCCAAGGATGTGTGTGCAGGCCCATGTGCATCCCAGCAGCAGCCGGGCCCAGCTCGTGGGGTAGGCCTGTGAGTGGGGACTGCTTTCCTCAACACCCAGCTGTGCATGCCCTGGAGCCCAGAGGAAGGCTGTTCTGTGCACTTGCTATTTGTTTACATACAGATTTTTGTAATAAAGACTATTTCTTGACACATCAGGCTTGTTGACTGTTTCCTCCCATCTGGGGACTTCAGAAGCAGGAAGGATTTCTGAAGCTGGAAGTTATCACGCTTCCTGCCTGACTCTGGTGGAACTCTGGTGTGGGCTTCATGATCTAATGTTAGGGTCTGGCAGTCTAGCCAGCTATCCTGAGGGGACATATGGGGACACCAGGGCATGGTTGGGGGCCCAAAGGAGCAGGAGACACAAACTCCTCAAGGCAGGATATCCACATCATTCTTCTGCACCGGGCTTGGTATTGTTGAGCTGATTAAGGGCTCTATCAATCCACTGTACCTAAAGGAAAACTGAAACTGCCCATGGAAGCATGCCTTGGCTTAGGCCTTTCAGCCAAACAAGAACCTTGGGTCTGGTTCTGCACCTGGCATTTCTACCCTGTTCCTGTCTAAGAGTCCAGGAATTAGCTGGGGTGGGGAGACTCAGAGACCTGGGTGGGGGGAGGGACCGGCCAGTTTGTTAAGCATGAGGATGAGAGAGTTGTACTCAGACATTCTTGACTTCAAATGGCTCCTCTGCTCCTGGCTGAGAACTGGGGGGCCCTCACTGTTCTCCATGAGAGCCCAGGCCAGCATGGGCTAGTTCGATTTTGGCAAGCACAGCTGTCTGGAGCCCTCCCAACCTGCAATGAGAAATGCAGTATTTGTGTCAGGATGTGTGCCTGAGCACTTATGGACATTTCCTCACTCCCCCATGCCCACAAAGGGGAGCACCTGGCTCCCTTATTACTCATAAAAGTTTACCTGCAACAATTCCTCCTTGTCTACAGGTTCGCTTCCTGTAGTTTCTGTTACCCTTTGTTGACTTCAGTCTGAAAACATTCAATGGAGAATTCCAGAAGTAAACAACTTGCAAGTTTTAAATGGCACGACCTGAGTAGCAGGATGAAATCTTAAACCATTGAGCTCTGTACCGTGCAGGATGTGAATCAAACATGCTCCCTACCTGCTGGTCACCTAGAAGCCATTTCAGATCAACTGCCTTGGTGTCACGGTGCTAGTGAACAAGTAACCTATATTTTACTTAAGTATGGCCCTACAGTGCAAGAGTAGTGAAGCTGGCAACTCAGATATGCCAAAGAGAAGCCATAAAGTGCTTTGTTCAAGTAAAAAGATAAAAGTATCACAGGTAGGTATATACAGGCAAAAACATAGTATATCTAGGGTTAGGTACTGTCCTTGGTCTCACGCATCCAGCAGAGGTCTTGGAATGTATTCCCATGGATAAGGACTTGTGCCCATGGTTTTGGAAACAACCCCTAGCATTTGGTGATGGGTGAGAATTGGCTTAGTGGAGACTGGTATACAGATCTGCCTGACACCAGAGCTGAAGGTAGCCCAGGGCAGGGCGGGTGACAGATTCTGAGAAAGTTCTACACCAGGGTCCACACATTTCTTCATTCATTCCATTTACTCATTCTACAGACCACTAACTGCCCTCAAGACCTGGTTAGAACCCTAATGGTAGCTTGTTTAAGAGGAAGTTTGAGCTGAACATAGCACTCTGGGAGGCTAAGGGAAGAGAATCGCAAGTTGCCCTAGCTTAGGCAACTTAGCAAGACACTATCTCATAATAAAACAATAAAAAAGTGCTGAGGATGTACAAAGGCCCTGGGTTCAATCCCCTGTACTTCTCCCAAACAGAGGTGGTTTGTGGGCTGCTCCTTTATGAATGTGAGAGAGGAGCAGGAGCCCCTCAGAATCACCCATGTGCCCAAAGCAGTGTTAACTTCTCAAAGCTGCTGCTACTCCCCTCCCTACAGCCCCCAAAATACTTTGAGGCATGTGCAGGGCATGGTTTCCTTGTAGCAGGTGAGTGTACCCAGGCCTGAAGAAAAACTAAGGCTTTCCTGGCTCTGTTGTTTATTGACTGAGTGTTCCTGAGCAAACCACCTAGCCTCTCTGTGCCCCAGTGTGTGACATAGGGACAGTGTCCCTTCAGAACAGAGTGAGTAGAGTAATGAAGGTATGTGCTCTGAGCTGTGCCAGGTGCCAAGTGAGACCCTTTCATGGTCAGATTCCACATAGCACTGATCCAGCCTGAGTAACTCAGTGACCCTGGGGCAGATGTTTTAGCTTGTGACAAGGCTGGGAGCTGCTGAGGGGTCCCAACTCAGCTTCCAGCCTGAGAAGAAGTCATCAAATACACAATGTGGAGACCCCAGAAGTGTCCACAGAAAACTCTAAGGACAGGGAGTGACAGGGACCTTCCAGCCATCCCTACCTCATTTCAGACTCTCAGGCCCACAAAGCTTCTCCTGAGTCTGTTTGGCAGCCTCTTTAGTGGAAGAGCCCATCAGCTCCGCACTCCCTCAGGGTCACCTGAGCTGGTTCAGTCTTTCTAAGAGGCAGGAGATAGTCCATTGTCCCAGTCTTCTCAGTGACCAGGGAACAGCATAAAGATTTGTGGAGAAGCTCTGGAGAGTGCACAGTCTTCTTCCCCCACCCTGATCCCACAGGCGCTGTAGAGCCCCTAACACCCACCTCAGGTCATGCGCTGCTCATCTACCCTACATCTGACGCAAACTCCAGTCCTTGTCTGAATTCCCCAAGCTAATCAGGAGCTGCCAGGCAAGATGAAGGCCAAGGCATGACTGGGTCCTCAAGTCCCGCCCTGGAAGGGCCCTCTGTCTTGTACAGGAGACCAGCTGGTGTCCTGTGCAAAAATGACAAAGGCAGCACAGAGCATGGGGTAGGGACATTCCCTGAGGAGACCCTTCAGCCAGCCTGTGAGCACAAGGCACTTTCCTGGAGAAGGAACTACTGGAGCTGAATGCTGAAGTATGAGCAGGTACTCACCACACCGCTGAAGGGCTGGGAAGGGCAATTCAAGGAAAGGGAACAGAGTGTGCAAAGCTGCAGCTACAGATGCCGGTACCCAGGAGGAAAGTGGGACTGAGTCTGCAGCCACAGGAAAAGTCCAGGCTTCTGTGCCCACTGGTGTGTGTCAGGGTGAGACAGTGCCAGGCCAATGATCTACCCACCTCCTTGGGCTGGCAGTCACGGATGCTGAGCAGCTCCCAGCTTCCCAAAGTCAATGAGTAACTTGGGGGGCTAGGCGGGGCCAGGCCTGCTGCTGTGGGCCCAGTGGTGATTTCTACTCCTGAGCAAGTGTGATCGGACCGCCTACCTACTCAAGTGCCCACCTTGCCCTTCCCCACCCAGCTGGAGCAGATCTCCCTGGAGAAGCAGATCTCCCTGGAAAAGAAGCCCTCTTTCCTGGTAGGTGAACCCAAGGAGACGCCTTTGATACTAGTGGGTGAGAGGCCGGGAGCACAGCAATGTGGCCCAGGCCTAAGTTATGTGGGGTTGAGGGGGAACAGTGCCCTTGTCTGTTGTTGGGGAAGAATTCCCAGGGACCCAGCCTGAGTGAAGTTGGGTCCACTAACTCCACTCCTAGCACTGAGCTACATGTTGAGCCCTGGAAAATGCCATGATACTGGAAGAGCTTCTTCCCTGGGGGCACTCCATGTCTGGAGGGTGGTAGTGGGAAGCAGGACAGTCCCTGAGCCGCAAGTCCTCTCTTCTAGGAGAAATCCTCCTGTCAAGTCCTCTGTGACCTTGTCCAGGCACTGCCCTTCAGGCCTTGCCTGCAGTGTGAGACAATTACAGGGAGGGATCCTCACAGTCAGCTTTCCAGCTTCAAACTTTTGCAACTTGGGAGACTGCTGGAAAGTTACAACTTTAAGATCCACCTGCTGGGGAAGCTCTGGTGGGAAGGAGACAGAGGTGTGAAGGTGAAACTCCCATGGAGGGTACTGTGGAAGCAAGAGCCAGGCAGCTGGGTGGCTGGGCCCTCACTGGCTCTGGCTGAGGAAATGCACACTTCCCTGCAGCTAACAAGGAGCCACGGGGCCTTAGGGGAGGACATGGGGCTTGCAGGGAGTGAGAGTCCTTTGGCTGTGTGGATGGGTTGGAAATCCCCTTCCCATTCATCTGGGCTGGATCCTCATGGCCATGTCCCTTAGGCCCATCCTGACCATGGTTCCTTCCTGGCTTTGGCTGCTTTGCTTCTCTATCCCCCAGGTAAGTGGGCTCTGACCCCCTTCTTCAGGTCCTGGCTTTGGGGATTGGCACCCTTGCTCCTAACTCTGCCTGAACCAACTACCATGACCATGGGAGGAGTCTAGGGGCAGTGGGCTCAGAACTGGGGCTATGGGTCCAGTGTGGGAGCAGGAAGTCAATAGAAAGAAGGTGGGTGGCCTGAGGTATGGCCTGGTGGGACAAGGTGAGAATTCCCTACAGGCTCTCCCTGAGTCCCAGCCTACAGAGCTGTCTGTGGAAGTCCCTGAGAACTATCATGGAAATTTCCCTTTGTACCTGATCAAGGTGAGCCTGAGAACTGGGTGAGCTACCCTCCCCCACAGTCTTCTTTCCCCAACTTTTTTTTTTTTTTTTTTTTTTTTTTTGAGACAGGGTCTTGCCATGTAGTTCAGGCTAACCTTGCATTCACTTTGCAGCTCAGGCTGGCCTCGAACTCATAGTGATCCTCCTGCTTCAGCCCCCCACTCCTCTTTCTTGCTCCAGCTCCCTTTTGAACCCTGCCTGCAGGAGCATATATGTTGTTATTCAGAAGAGAGTAGGACTCTCAGCTAAAGAGTGAAATGCTGGTGTGGAGTTCCAACTTTAGAAAGAGGGGCAGGGAGCATGGAGAGCATCAGGTACAAGGCAAAGAGTTGTGACTTTGGATCTCAGTCCTGTCCCTTAGTGGCTGTGTGACCTCATGTTAGTGCCAACCTTCTCTGAAACTCAGTTTTCTCATACATAAAATGAGGCCAATGAGTGAAAGGGCTGTCCTTCAGGCCTGGTGCCCACCCCTTACTTTTGTTCTCATCCTCTAGTTGCCGCTGCCCCACGAGAAGGCTGAAGGCCAGATTGTGCTATCAGGGGACTCAGGCATGACAGTGGAGGGCCCCTTTGCTGTGGATTCTGACTCTGGCTTCCTAGTGGTGACCAGTGCACTGGACCGGGAGGAACAAGCAGAATACAAGCTACAGGTATGGCTGCATGCAGTACAGGATAAAGCAGGAAAGGCACAGGCACAGCCAGGCACTGACTCCCCTTCCTTGCCAGGTCACCCTGGAGACTGGCGATGGATCTGTCTTGTGGGGTCCACAGCCTGTGATTGTGCATGTGAAGGATGAGAATGATCAGGTGCCCCAGTTTTCCCAGGCCATCTACAGAGCTGAGCTCAGCCAGGGCACCAGGCCTGGTGAGTGACCAGAGCACAACCTTGTATGTAGCAAGGTCAGGTGGACACTGATGGGGCAGCAGAGTAAAGAGACACAAGGACAAGACATGCAGGGTCTAAGCTTCTCCCTCATCTCCGCTCTATCCTCTACCCTTCCCACTCCACGGAGGGACCCATTTACTCCTAGCCTCTGGCCATCTGTGAAGTGTGTTAAAAAAATCTGTGGCTCGCCTTCAGGATCCTGATGGAAGGGGGCCCAAGGAGAAATAGGGGAGGCAGGAGAGTCTCCCTCCCCTACAATTCCTTAGTTTACCTTTCTCTCCACACTCCAGGCATCCCTTTCCTCTTCCTTGAGGTTTCGGATGGAGATGCTCCAGGCACAGCCAATTCAGATCTCCGATTCCACATTCTGAGCCAGAGCCCAGCCCAACCTTCATCACACATGTTCCAGCTAGACCCTCGGCTGGGGGCTCTGGCCCTCACCCCTGAAGGTGAGCCTTAGCTAAGTGTGATGGAGGGTCAGGGAATGCTGGAAAAGGGGAACTTGAGCATAAGGGGTAGATGAATTGGGGCTAGAAGTAAAAGAGGAAAGAGCAGCAAGGCCGAGGCCATGCTTGATCATCCATGGGGAGATAGAAAATAGGGTGACTGGAATACTTTGGTTCCACATTCTGGAGACCAGAGTGGAATGACCTGAGCATCTGGAGTTTGGAGACCTCAGGACTGATGGAAGGTGAGACCTGCCCTGAGAGTATTAACCCCGAAACATGGGCTGGGGGTGGAATGTAAAGTGACTCATGCATCAACCCAGCCAGCCACCCTGTCACCCATCTACCTCCAGCCACCTTGCAGCCCACCTGTTCAACATATTCACTCATCCACACTCTTCATCCATGCACTCACCCAGATCCCTAGCTATCCACCTAGCCAACATCCGTTCATTCAGTGGATTATCTCCCACCATTCAGTGCATTATCTTCCCTATCCTGACTGTCCATCTCCTTCTCCAGTTCATACACCACTCACTGTTAATATGTAAGTGACATTGCACACTGTCACATCATAGTTAGATACTCATGATGGTGCTAAAAGTCCCTCTAATCCTTTGGCCAACATGATCTCCTGAACACCTGCTGTACGCTTGGCTTTGTGTTTGGTACTCACTGCAAAGCACAGCCACAGTCTGGTACTTGTTCCCCGGTCCAGTGCTCAGTCAACCACCTTATCTCTTCTAGGGAGCACCAGTCTCGACCATGCTCCAGAGGGGCCCTATCAACTACTGGTACAGGTCAAGGACATGGGTGACCAGGCCTCAGGCCACCAGGCCACAACCACCATTGAGGTCTCCATAGTACAGAATACCTGGGTGCCCCTGGAACCTATCCACCTGGCAGAGAATCTCAAAGTCCTGTACCCACACCCCATTGCCCAGGTGAGTAAATATCTATCTGTGACTCATGCAGCCCCGTGGATAGTGCAGCTGGACCTGAGTCTCATGAGTGTTTGGGAGACAGATCTGGGAACCAACCTGACCCTGACTCCTCCCTCTATACTGCCCTCAACTTCCTACTGCGGAGTGAGGTATGTAGAGCCCTGGGACAAAACCCTGACTCAATTGCCTGCTGCCTTTGGCAGGTGTGGCTCTGTGTTCTGACTTCTTGAGTTTCCTCAGGGAGAACAGCTGCCTCTTCTTGCTGCCACAGGGATTGTCACCCAAGGCAAGAATGTCTCAGGCCTTCTCTAGGAATCCTCTGGAGTCAGGCCAAATCTGAGCGGACAGAAAAGAAAATAGCCTTGTCATTCAGGCACTTGGGGCTGAGGCCTGGCCCAGGGCAAGGCTACTATGGAGTTACTATAATGACAACTGCCCCAGACAGAAGGAGGCTATTTGAACTGCTTGGACTCCCCCGGGTGGGCAGTGGTTTACCTGAGGTTCACCTGATTATTGGGGCCCAGGCTCCTTGCCTAAGTTGGGACACAGGACTGGCCTGGATTGTTCCTAACCTTGGCCACTGTGTCCTCTTCCTCCAGGTACACTGGAGTGGGGGGAATGTGCACTATCACCTGGAGAGCCAACCCCCTGGGCCTTTTGATGTGGATGCAGAAGGGAAACTCTACGTGACCATGGAGCTGGACCGAGAGGCCCAGGCTGAGGTGAGGTGAGCGGGAGGGAGTGGGGGGCATGCTGGAGAGTGTTAGTCACTGTCTGATTGCTTTGGGAGATGTCACATCTCCCACAGATGCTAAGGCAGTGGAAGAGAGCTCAAAGAGCTGGAGCCATAAAGACCCCAAATAAATAAACTGGAGCTGGTCACCAACGGGACCTCCAGCTCCAGGCTGGAGCTGCCCTTGGTCCTGACCTGAACCCCACCTCATCCTACCCCCACTTCATCCATTACAGTACCTGCTCCAGGTGCGGACTCAGAATTCCCACTGTGAGGACTATGCAGAACCCCTAGAATTTCATGTGGTGGTGATGGATGAAAATGACAATGCACCTGTCTGCCCCCCACGTGGTCCCTCCATCAGTATCCCTGAGCTCAGCCCTCCAGGTGAGCTAAGGGCCTTAACAGAGGTGTGGGAAGGGTTCAGTCCCTATGAACCATCAAATCTTACTTCTCTGTGGTGGGTCTCCAGCTTCAGGCAGCCATCTCATTCCCTTCAGTGTATGCACTTAAGCGTGCACACACACACACACACACACACACACACACACACACACGAGAAGTTCGGCTCAGCATAAAAGTGGAGGAGGTAAAGCTGTGATCCCACCTGCTGTCTTGCAGGCACTGAAGTGACTCAGCTATTGGCAGAGGATGC